TGGACAGATGGAGGGAGGGAGGGAGAAAGAGAGAGGAAGAAAGAGAGACATTAGTGTGAGAGAGACAGATTGGTCGGCTGCCTCCCCCACGCAGGGCTGGGGAACAAGCCTGCAACCAAGGGACTCGCCCTTGACCAGGAGTTCAACCCGAGACCCTTCGGTCGGCAGGCCGACACTCTAACCACTAAGGCAAACTGGCCAGGGCTTATTATTATTTTAAATATGTTTTTATTGATTTTAGAGAGAGAGGAAAGGGAGGGACAGAAACATCAATGAGAGAGAAGCATTGATCGGCTGCCTTCTGCACAACCCCCATTGGGGATTGAGCCCACAATCTGGGCACATGCCCTGACTGGGAATCAAACCAGTGACCTCTTGGTGCGTGGGACTACGCAAACCAAGTGAGCCTCACTGGCTGGGCTTATTATTGTTCTTAATCCTCACCTGAGGATATATTTTTATTGATTTTAGAAAGAGAGAAAGGGAGAGGGAGAGAGAGAAAGATCGATGTGAGAGAGAAATATCTATTGGGATTGGTTTTCTCCCATACGTGCCCCAACCAGGGATTGAACCTGAGACTTTTCAATGTACTAAGCGATGCTCCAACCAACTGAGCCACATTGGCCAGGGCCCAAGAATGTCCTTCCTAGCAAAAGGGTTCAGTCCATAATTACTCATTGCGTATCTTTTGTCTCCTTCAGTCTGGAACAGTTCTTCAGTCTTCCCTTGATTTTCATGACCTTTACATTTTTAAAGGTTACAGTCCAGTTATTTTGTAGAGTCTCCTTCATTTGGGTTTGTCAGACTTTTCCTTGTGGTTCGATTTAAGTCATGCATCTTTGATAGGAATGTCACAGAAGCAATGCTGTGTTTCTTTCTTTGCATTCTATCAACTGGTGCATGATTTTGATTTGTCCTGTTACTGAGGATGTTCACTTGATCACTTGCTTAAGGTGGTGCCTGCTAGTCTCTTAGTGTCCTTTGGCTGTGTACAAATTACCATAAACTGGTGACTTAAAACAACAGCAATGTACACTTTCACAGTTCTGGAGGCCAGAAGTAAAAATTAAAGTATTGGCAGAACCACACTCCCTCTGAAGACTTTAGGGAAATGTCCATTCCTAGCCTCTTCCAGCTTCTGGTGGCTGTTGGGCATTCCTTGGTTTGTAGCTGCATCACTTCGATGTCTGTCTGTCTTCACATCACTTTCTCCTCTGTGTCTTCTCCTCTGTCTCTTCCAAGGAAACTTGTCATTGAATCTAGTGCCTATCTGGATAATCCAGAGTGACCTCCTCATCCCAAGATCCTTAATTTAGTTACATCTGCAAAGACTCTTTTTCCAAGTAAGGTAACATTCACAGGTTTTTAGGATTAAGATATGGACATATTTTTTTGGAGACCACCATTCAACCGCTATAGCCAGCTTTCTCCACTTTAAAGTTACTCTTTTCCCTTTTGTAATTAACAAGTATTTTGTGGGGAGATACTTTGAAACTATGTGAATATTATATATTACAATCATTTATTATTTTGATGCTCAAGCTGTCCCCGTTTTGGTCACTGGGAACCCCTTTAGGCTGGCTTCCGTGTCCTTTCAGCATGTCTCCATCATTCTTTGAACACCTCCTTACTTTCTGGCATAATGAGATGTTCCAGGTTTATCTCATGCTTTAATAACCCCAACCCTGTAATCAGCTATTTCCCCAAGGAGCCCTACTTCCTTTTAATGGCAAACGGTATTTAGAAACTGAGATCTATTGTAGATACAGAGAACAAACTGATGGTTGCCAGATGAGAGGAGAGGTGGGGGTCTCAGTGAAAAAGGTAAAGGGATTAAGAAGTACAAATGGGGCCCTAGCCTGGTGGCTCACTTGGTTGGAGCATCGTCCCATACACTAAAAGATTGCAGGTTCAATTCCCAGTCAGAGCACGTACCTAGGTTGTGGGTTTGATCCCCAGTCAGGGCACATGCTGGAGGCAACCGATTAATGTTTATCCCTCACATCGATGTTTCTCTCTCTCCCCCTTCCTCTCTCTCTCAAAAGCAATAAAAGCATATCCTCAGGTGAGAATTAAAAAAAAAAGCCCTGGCCAACCTGACTCAGTGGCTGGAACATCGGCCTGCACACCCAAAGGTCACAGGTTCGATTCCCAGTCAAGGGCACATACCTGGGTTGCAGGTTTGATCCCTGCTCCCTGGGTCGGGGTGCAAGTGGAAGGCAACCAACTGATGTGTCTTTATCACATACGTAGATGTTTCTCTCTCTCCGCTTTCCCCCTCCCTTCCACTCTCTCTAAAAAAATCAATGGAAAAAATATCCTCACTCCTTGGATGAGGGTTAAAAAAAGAAAAGAAAAGAAAAGAAAGAGGCCCCAAAGAGCTAGCTTGCCCGTTCTGCCATGTGATTACAGGAGGAAGGCACTTTCTGAGAACCAGGAAGTGGGTTCTCGCCAGGAGACCAAATCAGTTGGTGCCTTGATCTTGGACTTCCCAGCCTCCAGAACTATGAGAAAAAAATTTCTGTTGTTTATAAACCAACCAGTTCATGGTATTTTGGTATAGCAGCCTGAACAGACTAAGAACACATACTATATAATTTACCCATTCAAAGTGTACAATTCAGTGGCCTTCGGTATATTCAGAGACTTGTGTGACCATTCCTGCAAACAATTTTAGAACATTTTTATTACCCCACAAATCCCTTACCCCTTACAGATCTATAGACCTAATAAGAAGGCTGGAAGTAGGGAGGGGGCTGAAATGCACAGCCCTTGCTCTTGGCTTACTCCAGGCACCCAGAGCTTAAGATGAGCCCTGAAAGTCAGCCAGCTCTCAATGGCTCCCTCTCATGGCAGCCTCCCACTGGCCTGCTCAGAATGTTCCCACAGGTCCTCCCTCAGCTTCCTTTGCAGAATCCTAATCCTGGCTGCCTTCAGTGGGGACAGAGCGAGGGAAGAAGGGCTGTTCTTTGCCTTACTTAAAGGCAAAGAAGGGCTGCTTCCACCTCCCCTGGGGAGTTGGAAAAGAGATGTGACCCCAGTGTATGGAACTGAGTCAGGGAACTTCAACCCGGAGGGGTGATGGTGGGGAGTCCCCAGAATCTTTTCATCTTTGGTCCCAGGGCTCACACTCAAAAGCCAGGACTTTTCTCTGTAAAATAAGAGCAGGTTCTTAATCATTTAGCCCCTGAACCTGTCTAAGAGGCTCCATGACAGCAAAAAGCCAAAAAGAGATGGAGTGAGTCAGTGAACTCTTGTCATGGCTCAAAGGTATCTTCTCACAGGTGAAAGGTGCTCCTTACAAGCCTCTAGTGCTAAGGACAGGATGGGGGTGAGGGGTTTGTCCAGGTTCTGATTCTATTCAGCAAACTCTTGTCCAGCACCTGTCTGTAGTACCAGTTACCATACTAGACTCTGGGATACAGACAGGAATGCCCTGATGAGGTT